TTACCCTCGACACCGCTTCCCCCCCGGTTGGTGCGTCCTCCCAGGTCGCTGCAGCTTGCTCGTGTCGTTCCCTCACTCACCCGTCCCTTCTCTGGCACCACCGCTTAGGTCACCCTGCTCTCCCTCGTCTGCGTCACATGTCCCAGCACGGTCTTGTCTTAGGTCTCCCCGCGTCGCTCCCTGCCCTTCCTCCCTCGACTGCGCCACCGTGCACGCCTTGCGTCGAGGGCCGCCTCCGCCGTGCTCCTCACTCCTCCTTGCTGCGCCCTGCGACTGCCCCCCTCCAGACCCTGCACCTGGACGTCTGGGGCCCTGCCCCCGTCCCCGGACCGCGCGGTGAGCGCTACTTTCTTGTGCTCGTCGATGATTACACGCGCTACACCACGGTGTTTCCTCTGGAGCGGAAGGCCGACGTGCCCGACGTTCTTCTACCGTGGGTTGTGGCTGCGCGTCTTCGCTGCAGTCTCCCCGTGTTGTGTCTCCACTCTGACCGTGGCGGCGAGTTTGCCTCTGGTCGGCTTGGACAGTTCTGTCGTGCGGAGTGCATCACCCAGACGTACACCTTGCCAGACTCGCCACAGCAGAATGGGGTTGCTGAGCGCCGCATTGGCTTGGTCATGGAGGTTGCTCGTACAAGGACATATATCTAAGGGTTGTACTCTCTAAGAAATGACCCTATACAGTCTATACAAACATTGTAGATAAACATGTTTGACACACCCCCTAGACTGCATAGGGGCAGGTTTTGAACAAGCAGCTCAGGGCGGCACTACTAGTCCAGCCTCTGAGACAAGGGTCTAAAGACCAGTCAAAAGGAGTACAGACAAGACAAGAACAAGACCAGGACGGCACTACTAGTCAAGCCACTGGGAGAGGACACAAGTCCAGTCTGAGTACATATGCAGACATATATAGAATAGTACAAGGTCAGGGTCCTAGCAAGTGAGAGGCTACAGGAACTAGACCCAGCTGTACACAGTGCCTCTGATGATCTTTAGGCGCAAGCGCCTTCGTAAAGATATCAGCTGTGTTGGCACCAGAGGCCAAGGGAACTACGCGGGCCTGGCGGCGCTGCTGTAGCTCGCGCAGGAGAAAGTACCGCAGCTGAATGTGCTTCGCTCTGCCCTCAAGCCGAGGCTCCTGACACAGGAGGATCATGGCCCTGTTGTCAGCGTACAGGACCGGGGCAGAGCTAGGCCGCTCACCTAAGTCAGTGAGCAAGAAGGTCAGCCAGCGGAGCTCCTGTGCCGCTATGGCACCAGCGTAGATCTCAGCCTCACAGCTGGACTGAGCAACAGACGACGAGCGAGTAGATCTCCAAGAGATAGCACCCAAACCAAGGCTAAAGCAGTAGCCCTGCGACGACCTGAGCGTCTCAGAGTCGTCTGCCCAAGACGCGTCTGTGTGCCCAGTTATCAGGTACATGAGGCAACCCACCAGCTCTGCGTAAGGGCCGCTGGGCTCTACTGGATCCTCAGGAACAGGAGCGGAGAGCCCGTGGTCTACGGGTAGAGGTGTGGGCTGTGCAGAGGAGAACTGAAGGCCGAACCTCTGAAGGACCTGACGCACCAAGTGTGACTGTGTCAGAGTGATGGTGCGTGCTGCTCTGTCCCTAGAGATCTGCAGGCCAAGATAGCGACGCAGCTCTCCAAGGTCAGTGCAAGTGTGTCTCTTCAGCAGCTCGGCCTTCACTGAGGCCAGTGCGTCCCTGTCAGCAGTAGCAAAGACCAGGTCGTCTACGTATACAAGGATGTAGAACGGAGTCTGGCCGGACCGCACAAGAAGCGAGGGGTCAGAGGACGACGGAAAGAACTGCAGGTCTGCTAGCGTGGCACGCAGCGTGTCGTGCCACTCGCGGGGAGCCTGACGCAGGCCGTAGACCGGGCGCCTAAGAAGCCACTGGGTCCCAGGGGGGAAGGTACCAGCGAAGCCCTGTGGTCGGCGCAGGTAGACCTGCTCGTGTAGGCTGCCCTGAAGAAAGGCAGTAGAGAAGTCGAGGGAGTGAAGCTCGTAGTCGCGCTGTGCTGCTACGTGTAGCAGCGCCCAAAGAGTGGTCATCTTCGGGGTCGGGGCGAAGGTCTGGAAGAAGTCCACCCCCTCGCGCTGACTGAAGCCTCTGGCCACGTAGTGCGCCTTGAAGACAGGCGGCTCGCCTGGGGGGCGCTTCACCTTGAAGAGCCACCGACCATCGACTACGTTCACCCCAGGTGGGGGAACTGCGTCGACGTAAGTGCCGGTGGACCTCCAAGATGCCATCTCCTGCTCCATGGCAGCTATCCACTGAGAGGCCCAGGGTCCCAGGGTCCACAGCCGTGAAAGATAGAGACTGCCGGCGCACTGCTCGACTGAGCGATAGTGCGCTGGCGAGTCTCGATCTCGGTGAGGGTGTCGACAAAAGCAGTGAGGGTGAGGTCAGCCGGGTGCTGGCTAAGGAAGTGATCGCGGGCACTAGCGAGGCGGTCCGGCAGGCGCATGGCGATGAAATATAGCGTCATGCAGAAAGGAGGGGGGAGCGCATTGAGCTGTGCAGCAGTGCTGGCAGTGCGATAGCGGGTCTCTAGGGCACGCAGGTGAGCGGCAAAGTCTGCGACGGTAGGGAAGGCTGCAAGGTCTGGGAACAGCATCGGGAACAGCAAGCGGCCAGCAGAGGCAGACGCGGGTGTGGAATAGCAGGCAATGACTGCGTCTAAGTAGGCTTTGGCCGTCGCAATGGTAGCAAAACGCGAGCGTTCAGACACAGGGAGGGCGTGGCTAATAGCAACCTGAGCGACCGCATCGCGGGATTCCCAGACAGCACAGGCAAGTGCAGCAGTAGAGAAGGTCTCACGGGCATCAGAGGAGGGGTCAACAGGGAGGGGAACGGGCGCAGGGGGGCGGGGGAGCAAACCATCGACATGGACAACCAAAGAGTGGCCATCCTGACGCTGACCTGTAAGGTGGCGGCGGAGGTCAGAGAGCCAGGCGGCGAAGTCAACCGCGTGGCCCTCGGCGTCCAGTCGGAGCACGAAGTCAGCCATCGTGCAGGGTCAGCGGCACAGCTCCGCAGGAACAGGACAGCAGCGCCCTCCAACACGACGGCCGCAAAACGGCGCCCCAGCACGTGCGAGCAGGTACAAAGAGGCGCCGGCCGGTCAGGCACGGCGGGTGAGGCACGGGAGGTGCGGCAGAGCCAGGAGGTGCGGCAGGGCCGGGCAGGCGCGGCGAGGCCAGGCAGGGGCGGCGGGGCCAGGAGGCGCGGCAGGGCCAGGCAGGCGCGACGGGGCCCGGCAGCGCGGTGGGGCCAGGAGACGAGACGGGGCCAGGCAGGCGCGACGGGGCCAGGCAGCTCTGCGGGGCCAGGAGACGCGACGGGGCCAGGCAGGCGCGACGGGGCCAGGCAGCGCGGCGGGGCCAGGAGACGCGGCGGGGCCAGGCAAGCGCGACGGGGCCAGGCAAGCGCGACGGGGCCAGGCAGGCGCGGCAGTGCCAGGCAGACGGAGCAGGGCCAGGCAGGCTCGACGGGGCCAGGCAGCGCGGCGGGGCCAGGAGACGCGGCGGGGCCAGGCAGGCACGACGGGGCCAGGCAGGCGCGACGGGGCCAGGCAGGCGCGGCAGTGCCAGGTAGCGCGGCGGGGCCAGGCAGGTGCGGCAGTGCCAGGCAGGCGCGACGAGGCCAGGAGACACGGCAGGGCCAGGCAGGCGCGACGGGGCTAGGCAGGCGCGGCGGGGCCAGGCAGCGCGGCGAAGGCCAGGCAGGCTCGACGGGGCTAGGCAGGCACAACGGGGCCAGGCAGGTGCAACGGGGTCGAGGAGGCACGAGGGGCCCAGGAGGGGCGTGACGGGCTAGAAGGCGCTGCAGGGGCCCAGGGGGGGGCGCGACGGGCGAGGAAGCGCTACAGGAGCCCAGGAGGGGCGCGACGGGGTCTAGGAGGCACGATGGGGCCCAAGGGGGAGCGACGGGACCTACGGGGCACGAAGGGGGGCCCAGGAGGGGCGCGACGGGGCCTAGGCAGCGCGATGGGGCCCAGGGGGGGCGCGACGGGGCCTAGGAGGCGCTATGGAGCCCAGGGGGCCGCGACGAGGCCTAGGAGGCACGATGGGGCCCAGGGGGGCGCGACGGGGCCTACGGGGCACGAAGGGGCCCAGGAGGGGCGCGACGGGGCCTAGGCAGCGCGATGGGGCCCAGGGGGGGCGCGACGGGGCCTAGGCAGCGCGATGGAGCCCAGGGGGGCGCGACGAGGCCTAGGAGGCACGATGGGGCCCAGGGGGGCGCGACGGGGTCTAGGCAGCGCGATGGGGCCCAGGGGGGCGCGATGGGGCCTAGGCAGCGCGGTAGGGCCCAGGGGGGCGCGACGGGGCCTAGGAGGAACGGAGGGGGGTGGCGGGGCCTAGGAGGCACGGGCGGAAGCGGTAGGTGGAGGGGAACCAACCTACGGGTGATACCATCTTAAAGGAAAACTGAATAATGATTGACTAGAAAGAATTGTACAAGGACATATATCTAAGGGTTGTACTCTCTAAGAGATGACCCTATACAGTCTATACAAACATTGTAGATAAACATGTTTGACACATAGTGCATGGGGGGAACGGTGGGTGAAGAAAAGGCAAGTTTGGCGCAAGTCACGGCTAGGTTCGGCGAAACCCCCCACATCGCCCTCGCCTCCTCTCGCCCTCGAGTTTTGCCGAACTTGTGGCACCTTGCCGCAAAAGCCATCTCGGCAGTTGTGACTAACCGAATTGTGGCACCTAAATTGTCGCATGGAACAAACCCTAGAGCGCGTGAATTTGTGCATCGATCAATGCGCTCCCCTGCCAATGTCGAGACGAATAGGTTGTGTGGGGTACGGGGGCTGGCCAGCGGCAACTGGCGCATGGCTGTTTGTTTCGGTTCGATTTGGCGTGGTCAAACAAACAACCATGGTCTGGTGAACCTCGAAATCTCATGGACCACCAGACCAGACTATCCGGCTCAGGCTCGGGTTATAAGCTGAGGGGGAGAGGGGAAGCGTAAGCGCGTCCATAACGACAATCTGGTGCAGTGCTGGTTTTGCAATCAGGTGCTAATTTACCACAAAACTCTAAATCCTACACCCACTAGTTGCATTATTAGCACAGCTGAGGTGGCTATGCAACAACCTATCAGCCTATAAACCCCCAAATATCCTACAATAAGCTAATCTGGAAGACGACAAAGAAATTGAATCCTTGAAGGAGTTGAAGCCAATCTTGAGGGAAAAGGTGCTTGGCCAAGCACCCTCACTTACTGCATTGCCACGCACCACATTGCCTGCTGCAAACCATGCCATGCTGGCAACCAAGCATCCCTTGACATGTGAAGCTCTCACAATGCCATTATGGATGCATTTTCTAAAAACGAGGGCACAGATGTGGATGTAAATGTGGATGTGCATGTGGGTGCGGATGTGGATGGGTAGGGTTTATGGAAAAGCAGGGCAGGGCAAAGTGCAGACAAGTCCCGGCTTCTCACAGACCGTTGGTTCAGCCATGGGTGCTCCAACACCTCAAGCGAGCTCAGCCGTCGATCAGGGTTGATGCAGAGCATTCGGCGGATGAGATCCTTCGCAGCTGGGGAGATTCGTTTCCAGCCAGGAGATTCGAAGTCTATCTGCAAACTACTGTTCATGTCAACAGGTACCATGCTGGTATCTGAAGACGAAATAGGGGCTGAGGTGAGTGTGTGGAGAGTGACATTAGAGAATGCAGGGTCCCTGCCAGTGTAGCTGTGCGAAGCATATGCTGTGGGTGCATAGATCGCCTGAGTGGGGTCATTCTGAGATTGAGACGCCATCACATGCTGCTGCTGCTGCCCATGGTGATGCCTGCCCCCCCCATATAATGCTGCCCCCCCCTCCCTACCCTGGGATTGACTTGGCCACATTTGCCACACTCCCTGCTCCCCCTGCTGCCACCTCTGCTGCTGCTGCCACTCCTGCTGCCACTGCAGCTGCTGTTGCTGTTGCTGCTGCTGGTGCTGCCGCTGCCACTGCTGCTGCTGCTGTTGGTGCTGCTGCTGGGCGTGCATGATGGCCAGCAGTTTAGCCGGCTTGACGATGGGCAGTCGGCCAGTGAGCATGGAGCACAGCGTGATGCCCATGCTCCACACATCCGCCTTCATGCCATAGCCGCACTCACTGCCTGCATCCTCGTCTTCATCAGGTCTTGCTTCATCCTTCCACCTCGCTTCATCAACCTCACTGCTCTCCACGGTGCCTTGTTCCCCTCCTCCATCCTTCTCCCCACTTCCCCTCACCACCCCTCCTCCCCCCACTGCTTCTCTCTTTCCATTCCCTCCTTCCCCAATCTCCTTCCTCCCCCTCATCCCTTCCCCGCCCCTGCTGCCCTGACTCCGCCTCCTCTCCTTTGCCATTCTCCGCCGCACCTCCAGCAGCAGTATCTCGGGCGCCATGTACTGCCGCGTCCCCGCGCCCTTGTCCGCCATCGCCCCGCGCATCCCCCCCGCCACCACTGTAGACAGCGCAAAGTCCGCCAGCTTCACCCCCCAGATGCCCCTCTCCGCGCCCACGTGCGCCCACCCCGCGCCCATGGCGGAAAGCGTGCTGCTTTCCGTGGAATCGCCGTGGAAGGGGGAGCACCGCTCCCCAAGCCCTCCGCCAGTGGTAAAAGAAAGAGGGCGGGGAACGGTGGGTGTGGACGTGTGTGCTAGAAAGTGCGACACAAGCGTAGGCGAGGGGAGAACGGATGTGGGGGAGGGCGCAGGCGCAAGGGCGCCAGAGAGGGTGGACGAGAACGAGGGGAAGGCGGAAGCAATCGGGGAATGGAGAGTGGCGGAAGCGGAAGGCTGGGGGTCAAAAGCTTGTGAGCGCGCGTGCGAGATCGAGTGCGCAGCACCAGCAGCAGCAGGAGCAGCAGCGGGTTGCGCGGTCAACTCAGTAGCGCCGCTAGTCGGCTCATCCCCCACCACTGGATGCACGCGCGTGCTCCTCCCTGCGAACCGCCGCCCCACGACCTTCCCAGGGACAACCCTCAGCGGACTGTCCGCGCCCTTGCCCTGCGCGCCGAGCCCGTCGGAACCCGCGGCTCTACCAGCGGCAGCGGAAGGGAACAGCCGCGCGCCCATGAGCCATCCCCAGAGGCTCTCCTCCGCGCGGGGCTCACGCGATGCCTTTCTCCCCCCGCCCGCCGGCAGTAAAGCCGCGCTGCTCGCTGCCGTGGCTCCGTTCACTACCGTAATGCCAGCCTTGGTGCTCGGTCGGCCTGAGCTCGGTGGGTCAGCTACTCCTCTTTCCATGTGACATGGCGCTGCAGATAATGCTCCTGCGAATGCTGCTTTTTCGCCCGTTTGTTTCGCCACTCTCTCCAACGCCGGCTCCGTCGCACAGCCTGCCGCATGCTCCGTCACAATGCACGACCCGCCGACGGCGGTACCAGGAGGAGGGCGGAGCAGCAGAACGTTATCCGGCTTGATGTCGCGGTGCATGACGCCCGACGCGTGGCAGTACGCGACGGCCGATGCGAGCTGGAGAAACAAAGCCGACGCGAGCGGCTCGGCGATGGGGCCGCGCTTCAGAATCTCAGTCAGGAGGTCGTCGCCGGGCACCAGCTCCATCAGCACGTGCACCTCCGCGTCAAGGGATGCATCGGACGGCTGAGATGACGCGGCAGATATCGGACGCGCGGAAGCGGCTGTAGGAGGTAGGTCTGTCTGGGCACTCACTGCGGTTGCGCCTGTCCCAGCTCCGCCTGTCCCAGCTGCACCTGTCGCAGCAGCGCTTGCCACATGATTCGAACGGTCCTTAACCACCGCATTTGTCGCAGGTCGTCTCGTTTCAGCTTCAGTGATGCGCGTGCCATGCACCCTTGTACGAGGGTTCAGGGTACACGCAGTGTCTGGCCCTCCTGCGACGCTGCTTCGTCGCTCGACGATCACGTCGAGCAGTCGCACGACGTTCGGATGGTCGCCCACGATTTCCAGCGATCGCACCTCCGCCGTAATGTCGCGCATCGGAGCCTGCTCGATCGCGTAGCTCTTGCATGCGACCCGCAGCGATGTCGCAATGTCCTCGCATTCCCAGACGACAGCCTGCGACCCCGCGCCGACGCGACGGATGCGACGGTATTGCCCACCAATCAGCTCATCACCTAATGCGTTCTTGGAGAATTTCGAACAATCGGCGGCAGCATTCAAATCAGCGGAAAACCGCGGAGCCAGGGGAACAAGGGGGAGCGGAGCCGGGCGGAACGAGGTTTCGGCGCACAGTGAGTTGACGATCGCAGATTGGACAAGCGGGGCCGGAGCGCGCACGAGAGGGGACAGACTGTCCGCGTCAAATACACCACGATGTGCTTCAGAGCCGGGGTGGGAGTCTGTTTGGGTCATGGAGGCGATTCTTGTCGCGACCTTCGTCGCCTTCTTCGGCGCAAGCTGCCGGTCATAAGCGCCCCACGCCGCCGTGGCAGCGGTGTGACCGCAGCGCCCTCTCTCTCGCCCTCCCTTCCCGGCGCGCGAGAGCCGCGTGGCTCTTCAGTGGCAGCGGATGCCTCGCCTTAACTGGCCCCTAAACCCTAAGCATGCCGTCTCCTCCGTCTGCTCTCTCTCTCTCCCACTCCTCAACCCGGTCGTCTGTCTGCGTGGCAGGTTTTAGCTGCAGGCAATGTTCAGCTTCGCGAAATCATGACGGCAAACGTGGGCTTGAGGGGAGAAGGAGTCGAGGTCTCGCTCCGATCAATCGATCATACTCGTGACTGGACGTACTCGTGAGCGTGACCGTATGACTCTCAGCTCCACAAACTTTGGCTCGGCCGGGGGAGGAAGGAAACTCGGAGCGAAAGAAACAAGACGAGCTTGAGGACAAGGAGTGAGAGTACGCGTGGGGAGAGTTTTGAGAGTGGTCTACTTTATGCCTATTCGTGCTGCTGTCTGGTACCGACTTACAACAAATGGAGATGTTTCCAGCCCTGGGAATCAGCAAGCAAGGCTGCCCTGCCGGCGCGAACGGAAGCACTGGATCGCTACTGAGTAGAGTGGTGCGCCGACAGTAGAATGGTGCTGTTTGGGATCGCGCGAGGGCCTTGTTCCAATAGTTGATTGTGAGGTGATTGAAATAAAGGCTCACGCAGGGGGGCTCGCTATGCTGTAGGTGAAAGTGACTCTATCGCCAAGATAGCGAAGCGCACAGCCAGAAGGAGACAGCAATGTGGGATGATGAAATTGGTAGTTTCCACACTGAAGTGCCCTGGGCAGTTTATAAAGACCGTCAAGGAATCAACTCTTGAAAACGAGTCGTATAACCATAGAAATTATCACACTAACTGTACCGAGATTTTTCCTGCTTCCAAGGACAAAAGCATTTCGTTGTGGATTTCAGAACTTTCGTTAGGGCACGTTACGTAAGTTCTGTTCACACGATGTCGCACTCATGTGCTCCTGGCGGCTCGAATGCGTTGCCAGTTTGCGACAAAATGATGAGCTGGGTGCGAAGATGAAGGCTAACGATATCGTAAAGCGTGTGTTGCGAAAAAACCAGGGTGAGGTGGATACGGGGGATGTGATGGGTCGAAGATGCATTCAGCGGAGCACCACAGAGCTTCGTGGATGTGGCACAAACGAAGTTCGGGGGATTGAAGTGTACGCTACCGCTTCGTTATATGGTTTTGTAACACAAATTATCACAATGTAATGAATTTTATTCCTTATCAGGTTGTACTGCAATATCGTACACCCGAACTCTCGGAAGTCCAGGCTCGGTCCGATTCCGACGCAAACCCGAGGCTGGATTGCGCCGCCTCCGGTCCTTTCGACCACGTCTGTACCCAGTCTAGCCTTCCGTGTCGAGAGACCCGCTGGGGTTACCCTTTAGAAGATCCTCAGGACACAGGTGCAGAGCCTGGGGGGCTATGGACACACTGACCCACTATTAACAAGCCCTTTTAACTCAGTGGTTAGTGGCTGAGTTCTGATTGAGTTCTAACATGGTATTAGAGCGTTGGTGACTCGGCTTCAATTCTCAGTGCTAGCGCTGCAGAGGCGCTTGTTTACTCCGCCTATCCCGGCGAGGGGGGGTGTCGAGAGACCCGCTGGGGTTACCCTTGAGAAGATCCTCGGGGAAGGGCCACAGGTGCAGAGGCTGGGAGGCTATGGGTGCACTGACCCGCTATTAACAAGCCCTTTTAAATCAGTGGTTAGTGTTTGAGTTCTGATTGAGTTCTAACACTCAGGGGTTGTCGCCTAGCTAGAGCTCTCGCTATATAGTGCTAGGCTCCCATTCTTGTACTCATCATTATTATTCCGCGCACTCTCAGTTATTATTCGTAACCAAGTGGTCCTGGGAGTCCGGATTGCCACATGAGCGCCCCCAGGACCACAAGAATGAGCTAGAACTTGGCGTGCAGCCAATCGTCATGACACAGTAACGGCTGACTCAGCCCGAACTCATGGAGTTGCGGAGCTAGCTGGACCATCTGCTGGAGAAGGGTTTCATCCGCCCCAGCACGTCCCCATTCGTGGCGCCCACCCAAGAAAGACGGAGGGTTCCGAGTGTGCATTGATCATCGGGGTTGAATCGCAAAGCGATCAAGTTTCGCTACCCAATCACACGTGCTGACGATCGCGTGGACCAACTTCGCGGAGCTCGCTTCTTCTCCAAGATCGACCTGCGAGGTGGTTACCATCAGATCCACGACTTCGCTGACGACTACCACAAGACGGCGATCCGAAACCGTTGCAGCAGCTACAAGTACACGCTGATGCCATTTGGCCTCACGAACGCGCCCTCAACATTCCAGTTGGCCATGAATGGCGTGATCAGAGATCTGCTCGACAAGTGTGTCATCATCTACCTCGATGATATTCTCATATTCAACAACACCAAGAAACAACACCTCAAGGACCTCGACACGGTTTTCTAACGGTTGCAGCAGAACCGCCTCATTACCAAAAGTGCAAGTTTCTAAAATCGGAACTGAAATTTTTGGGACACGTCATTGGATCCGCGACTTTGCTGACGACTACCACAAGACGGTGATCCGAACCCGCTACAGCAGCTACAAGTATACGCTGATGCCATTTGGCCTCACGAACGCGCAGTCAACATTCTAGCTGGCCATGAATGGCGTGTTCAGAGATCTGCTTGACAAGTGTGTCGTCGTCTACCTCGATGATATTCTCATATTCAACAACACCAAGAAATAACACCTCAAGGACCTCGACACGGTTTTCTAACAGCTGCAGCAGACCGCCTCATTACCTAAAGTGCGAGTTTCTAAAATCTGAACTGAATTTTTTGGGACACGTCATTGGAGCGGACGACATTAAAATCCATCCGAAGAAGATCACAACCATGCGCAAGTGGAAGCCGCCCATGAATTTATAGAAGCACCAGAGTTTTCTTGGGTTCATTAATCGTCCGGCGTTTTATCTCCAATATGGCAGGGACAACCAGACCTTATACTGACCTGCTGCGGAAGGGCACTACGTTTGAGTGGGAATAGAGACAGCAGACTACTTTCGACTAACTCATAAATTTTCTGATGTCTTCCCCGGTCCTATAAATTGCTGATCCATCACGACGGTTCAAAGTTTTTTACGGATGCCAGCGATTTCGCCATCGGCGCAGTACTGTTACATGACTTCGTTGATTGACTCCAGCCAATCGTGTATGAGTCTAGAAAGTTGTAGGCTGCTGAGCGCAACTCCCACGTCCACGACAAAGAAATGGTTGCCATCGTGCATGCATTCAAAGTGTGGCGCTGCTACCTGACGGGAGCCGACATGACAGAACGGACAGACCACAAATCCCTACGGTACCTCCGCGCGCAGTCGAACCTCAACCCACGACAGATTTGCTGGCTGGACTTCCATGAGAGCAACTTCCATTACACCATCATGTACAAATTTGGGGCGAATAACATCGCCGACGCACTGACACGCCCGTCATCATAGCAAAATCCAACCCGCTCCTCACCATACTATTTGCCGACAGATACACCACCGACCCGTTCTTCACCAGCAACCTCCATCAGCAAGGCACCACGACCAAGATAATTTATTTCCTATAAGCCGGCACTGACCGCATTTGGGTCCCCGCATTTGGGTACCGACTCCTCCAGGAATTACTAATTGAAGAAGTCTACCTCTGGCCAGACCAAAAGTTCACGTCCATCTTTTGGAAGGAGACCTGGGAACAGTACGACAACCGCCTGCAATTTTTGTCCGCCTACCACCCACAAACCGACGGCCAGACAGAGCGCACAAATAAAATAATGGAGCAGCTGATATGTACCAACTGCCCTGATCCTGCTCGGTGGGAAGAATTCCTGCCCATGCTGCCCCATCTGCCACGACTAATCACCCGCCCTTCTTCCTCAATTACGGTATGGATCCTACCGTACCTACGACGACCAACATAAGAAATCCCGTGCCCCGCTCCCAGCAGTTTGTCAGCGACCTACAGACCGCTCAGGAAAAAAACAATCGAGTTCATCTAAAAATCCGACACCACAGCCCGACGCTACACCGATCTTCATCGATGGAATATTACCATGGCCACTGGGCAATTAGTCATTCTCGATACGAAGAACCTTCGCCTACCCCTGCCATGCAAACTTCGCCCAATATTTAACAAGCCATTCCGCATCGTCAAAATGGTGACACCCATCACGACGAAATCATTACTCCCGGACGAGTGGCGCATCCACGACGCTTTCCACATCAGCCTACTTCATCCTTACGTCGCCAGCATGTCAGCAGTCACACGACCAGCGGCCGTCCTCAGTGTCCGCCCGATGGCCGAACCGACACTTGAGCCTTTCCGAATTCTCAGTCATCGCATTCATATCAACACCACTAGACAACACATGGATTTCCTTGTCCGCTGGACCGACCGTACAAGCGAAGACGACACATGGGTCACTTTCGACTCGCTTCAGGAACATTCGGTGCTCAAATCGTATTTTACCCGAAAAGGCGTTCCTGATATTGACCACCTTCCTTAGAAGGGGGGGTAGTGTATGTAATTTTATTCCTTACCGGGTTGTACTGCAATCGCGTACACCCGAACTCTCGGAAGACCATGCTCGGTCCGATTCCGATGCAACCCCAAGGCTGGCTCGCCCTCTGGCCTTTTCGACCACGCCTGTACCCAACCTAGCCCTCCGAGGTCGTCGCCCAGCTAGAGCTCTCGCTTTTTAGTGCTAGCCTTCCATTCTTGTACTCGCTATTATTATTCCGCGGACTCTCAATTATTATTCATAACACACAAGCATCCCAGTTAATTTGCCTCATTTTATGGTTTTATGTTGTATTCATGCACATACATGTGTGAAAAATATATTTTCATATAATTCAATCGTATACAAGTTTCGACTTCACGTCGAAAGGGTTGTGTAGAATGTTACGCTATTTTTATTAGCATGTGGTGTGTGATAAAATCAGTATGATATCAATAGCAAAATTCCAATACTTTAGTGATGGTACCACCATGAGAGTTAAACATTAAAGAGATAAAAATATGTGAGATTTATAGTACCATATGTGAGATTATGCGTACTGTGGTTTCTAGTATCCAATTATGGATAATATTATTTAAAGGTCTATGTAAGATGTTCTGATTCCAAATGATGTTAAACCATACAAAACAAATCGCAACAGGGAGCCAAAGTTGTACAATTGCATGATATCCTATTATATATACTACAACCTATCTATGATATAATGTACATTTCTGTATATTGAATGAGAGATGTATAGAGCTGAGCTGGAGTTAGGTGACAACTGACCAACCGCGCTAGGGTTTTGGTGAACTTGTGTTCGATACTTCTACCACGTCCCCCGTGGCTCCAAGCCAACCCTATCTCCAAGTCCCCCATAGCTCCTAGCCAACAATAGCTCCCCGTCCCCCTCAGTTCCAAGCCAACCACATCTCTAAGTCCCCCATAGCTCCTAGCCAACAATAACTCCGAGTCCCCTCTAGTTCCAACTAGTGCCGTGCGCGCTGGCGCTGGCGCTGACGGCGTG